AGACCGGAGCATTTTGACCATGTCGAAAATAGATCCGACAGAGCGCAAACGACGCACAAAAAAAAAGCTGATGCGGCGCAGTGTACTCAAAAAGATAGCCTCACGTGCTGCTCTTCCCGTGATAGCATCGGAATAGTCTGGAAGCTGGGGGGTGTTGCAGGGGAGGGTTGGACAGCTCTTAGAGTATGGGATTAATCGCTTGAGGACGCGCGATGTCGCTCACGTTTATTGAGCCGCTTCTATCATTCTTTGTTTCGCCCGGGTCGTGGGTCCAGCTGTGGAAGACACGGGTCTGAAATGAACGCCTACACCACAAGCCATTCAAGGCAACTGAGCCGCTGCAGTCTTTCAGCATAAAAGCCCAAAGCCGCTAGAGCATAAAAAGGCACTGTAACCCTGCATCTCGTTCTTTTTCTCGCAGGTTCGAATGCAGACAAATCCCCAGCTCGGTGGTGGCAGCCTCGGCGCAGCCCTGCAGGAGATCGCCACGCCACTGGGTGGCAGCCGTATAGGCATAATCGGCTTGGGGAATGCGAATTAGTGTGGTTTGGGAGTACATGATTGGTGGGCATTTTGGGTGCCCGTTGTCTCCGCTGCTTACTCTCCGAAGTAGAGTCGCGCCTAGACTTGAAAACAAGGAAAACCCAAAAAGGTGAGTTGCAAGGTAGAGTAAAAATATGGCGTTTTTCCCAGGCTGTCCACGGAGTCTTGCGCTGCGCTGTGAAAGATAGACGAAGCTCCAAACCCTCCGTGCTCTTAAAGTTGGCGTTGCTGTGCCGTGTATGCCCTTGTTTTTTGTTGTATAGTTCCTTTCTTTGGCACCGGTGCTTTGTAGGGTCGAGAGTCGAGACCATATAGAGTGGCATCGTCCCATAGAAACCCTAGACCCTACGGGCCCTAGATCCTACCCCATCGTCCCAGCCGATGTGCTATCGACGTACTCGAAACCTCGCCAGGCTTGTCCCAGTTGTGAGTGCTGAAACCATCTCCGATGTTTTCTGACGATTGCTCAGCTGGCAAGACAGGTGGTGGCAACGGCGGGATGAATTTACTCATCATTGTCGGTGTTTGTTTCCGGTAGCTGTCAGTGGGTTGGTGGATCAAGTGATCTGGCTAGACATTTTATGTTGAAACAGACGAGCAATGTCTCAACCGAGCTCGTGATGTAATGAGTGGGATTTGGGCTGTATTGGATAGTTCATGGTCTTTGATGGTTCTGCGCGCCCTTTGCATGTTCTCCGTCATTCACAAAATATGAGCAGACCTTTCTCCTTCGAGGACTGAGCCGCCTATCGCGTTCTTCAAAGCCGTGGCCTCCTGTTGGCGCAGTTTCAAGATATTGCAAAAGCCACATCCAAGTCTTAGGAGGGTTGGGTGGGGATTTGAGACAGCAGGACATCGGGATGCGTGACAGTTTGCTTTGAGAAGGAGAAGTCGATGAAGTCCATGAGCTAGAGAAAGTGCCAAAGCAAGCCGCTTGTGCCGTCCCAGGACGTGGCTGCAATCTATGCCATCGTGTTTGGCTTTTTTAGCTTCGGTGTGAAGGAGATGGGATGATCAACTGGATGTCAGTGGGATTCGTAGAGTCCGGGCAGCTGGAAGATGCTGAAAGACAGTCGGCTAAGTATGTTCCCTTAACTGCATGGATCATCAATCAAGATCGGCATTCATACATGTATCTAAGACGGGCAAGTGAAAGACCATGTGTCATGCTTAACGCATAAGCCTAAGGTATAGGAACGCGAATACTCGCAGAATCATGCTCAGTTGTCATTGTGATGCCGTCGTGAAAGGAGTTCCTGACGAGGGAGCTGGTGCAGCCTGGCCAAAGCCACCAACGGCAACGGAATGCACCACGAAATCAATGCATCATATAATTATATTGCTTAGCTTTGGGCAACCATTTCCTGTCCGGCACATTTACCCCGACTACACATGCAGAGCTCGAACTTACCTCCCTGCTGCTTGCGCACAAACATGTTGGACTTGATTGTGGCCTCATTTGCGTAAAATGATGTGAAGTTGCGCGCAAGTCACGAAAATGAACTGAAATCAGGATACAGTTCCCTGGCCTTAATGAGCTCGTTGCCATTGACGCTTGGCTTAGCCTTTGTTCGAGTTTCGTGCAACTGTGCGATGCCACCAGTAAATGTCAATCATGTAGCCCCTTGCTGTGCAATGCAGAGCAGATTCAAGTTTGCGTGGGGCACACAGTAGCTGATAATTGCATGGTCTCTGCACGTGCTCGCGCGACTCGATGCTGCAGATTTTGGCCTCCATCGTCAGTGTCTTTGTCACCATGGCAGCCGGAACTCCTTGGGAAGTCTTGTGCCTTGGCCAGCAACTTCATGACACCAACGCAACAGATCAACTCTCTAACAATGGTAAAGAAAGATGTTCTATAAGCTGCTTATACGAGACACCGCCGCCCGGTCACAAGGGAGCAAACAACCACGGTTTCATCGCGCATCTAGGAATGCAGCCTCGGGAGACGTAATTGGTAGCTAATTGTATGGAAGACAGAATAACATCGGTCCATCCGTTCATCCGCAGCTTAGCTTAGTAGGAAACTGCCGTTAGAGGTTGGTTCTCGTTCATCCGCAGGACGACCAAAGTCATGGCTGGCGAGGGGTCTGGCGAGTCTGGTGGTCGCTTCTGGGGCCTGTCCCTGCTTCGGGATCAGCTGCAGGCTGACCCAAAGAAGGCAGGAGGGGGATGGGGTTAGGGCTGGACGGCAGAAGTGGGTGCAAAGGTGGCCGCGAAGCGATGGCTTTTTGTCAGTTCAGTTCACTGTGAATACGTCGGCGCATCCTGTATGGCTACTTTCAAGCGCGGGTTGGTCTGAACTTGGGTCCCTGGTACTTTTATTCGTGTTACCATGATTCAGGATAGTTACGGAGTTACGCATCACTGGTTTTATTGTTTCCGGTTGGCTACTCGGAGGCTGCTGTGGAGCTTTACGAGGAGTACTGGCTTCTTAGTGGCCTCTCGGTGGCGTGTTGATGCTGGACGTCGAACGAAGGTTGCGGATGGTCAGTCCTCTCTCCGGATGCTCCAGCCATTTGTGCGGAGGACTAACACCCACCCCCTTGCAACACGAAAACACACTATAACCCATTGCTCGTCGTGAACACCGGTTCTACGAAACAGGCTCCCATCCGGTTTGTACCGCTGCAGAAGAACACATATAGGCTAGTGAGATAGTGAAGCCTGCTCATCCTGTCGTTCGGATGTAGTATAGTGAAGCAGACTTGTCATCAACAGCCTTTGGTACAGATCCTAGAGTACCAAGCTGCAACGAACAAGTACGACATACTGCTCCAAGGAAAGGGTTGTGCCTGCCCAACGGCCGTGACGAATCCTTTGCAGCTAGCTACATGCGGAATGCTGATTCTCCAGCCACCCCCCGTCCACGTTTGTCAACCCCTGACTACCAGTGGCCATAAATTCTGGCCATGAAAGCAATGCAATCAGGAAAGGAGCTGGCGTTCGTTGTCACGAAGTTCTTGGTGTTTGACTCTTTGCGTGTGACCCAGCTCGCAATGGATGCTGCTCCCTCCACTAGCCACTAACCCCTCGCCGCAGAGCAGCAACAACATCAATAAGAGCAGCCACCACCACCACAGTCACTACCGAGACCGCCAACAACGTCTACAACAACACTGGGCATGTTACAAACTGCATCATAAGAACCACACATCAAGAATTTCCCACCACTTGCGACCACTGCACAACGACGCCTACCAGCTACCACTGCTATGGCTACTGCTACCGTCGCTACAATCGTAGCTGCTGCTGTGTCGCAGGTTCTTGGCACGAGGCTAGCGATCAGTTTACAGCCATACCTTTCTTGAGAAGGACCGGCGCAAAGGAGCAGCCGATGAGTTCAAGAATGGCGAAACAAACCTTTGTTAATCGGAGGAGTAAGTAAGTCAGGCACTGGGAAAGCAGGCAGGCAATTAAGCAGTTGTCGCTTCAACGATTACCTGCTGTAGGCCCGTGTTTCGGAAATGCAACAGGACAACGTGTCTGAGAAAGCCGTCTAAGATACGACGTGCTCCTCAACCGAACCTCTCGGTCTCAGCCAGCTGGCCCAGGAAGCGATACTCTTTGTCGTGCCGGCTTTTGCCGAGGTGCCAATAAGCCAAATCAGGTTTTGCAGAAGGCCGCTGAGTTAGAGTCCCGGTTCCGTCGACATTCCCCGTTGTAGTCTCCTCCCACACATTCTGTCCACAGCCGACAAGGTTTTTTGTTCGGACGTCTAAAGGGTTTCCGACTACTGTTCAGGGGAAGGGACAAGGTTGTCAAATGCCAGTGTGACTTTTATTTCAGCCCCATCCACGGCCCATCTACCCTCTTTTTATGTTGCAGGTCAATGTGCGGGGAATGACAAACGACTACGATCGTTCTCTCAACTCAACCTCAAGTCCCTAACCCCCACCACGCAGAAAGATCTGCCAGACACACTTCACACCGCACACTGCATACCATATACTGTCATATACTATCTACGACCTACTACCTATTATTTGCTAGGACGAGATTTGAAATACAAAGCCTTCACTGCATGCCTTCGGCCGGGGACCCAGAGAAGTAAGGGTTTGAATTTCTTATAACAGCATTCCCCAAAGTCCCTTTCTGGTGCTAAATACTCGTACAAATAACTATCAATGACACTAATACTCAACCACAGTGGTAAGTAAATAACAACATAACGCACAGACACATAAGCTAACATGGATGGTAACTGACATGTGAGCATGTAAGTAATTTCATCAAGTAAGCCAAAAAGCATTGCGAATATAATTTACGCATATACAAGCATACTATACATATACATAGACATACTCGTATACATGGACAGTACGTACAGACGTACATAGTCCAAGTTATTCGTATTCAAATGTATTATCTTATGATAATGATAACGGACATAACGAAATAAAATACACAGACAAACAATCCAACAACGATATCTGGGTGGTTGTCAAGGACCGGGTTTCTTTTGTTTGGGCTCCCAGACTTTTGGTTGCCGCAATAAGAGTAGAAACATATATATATATATAGGTGTCCCAAACGGACCATGAATCTGATAGTTACACACACACATATCAATAACCCAAAACCAAGCTCCTGCATTAGTCCGCGGCCCTTCCCTCGTTCTTTTCGATGCGGGGGAGGCTCAGTCCTTACTTGTTGCCTGTGGGTGCGGAGCCGTCGCCGGCGCGCTCGGAGCCATCACGTCGTTCCTGGGCTATGTCAGACCCCAAAAGCTGAGATACTGCAGGAAATGGATGACCATTCGATGTTTCGAAGGGGTTACCGCATACTGCGCATACTAGCTTTGGCTTTCATGGCGGTGCGAGTCACTATGGCTACACGTTAGAACGGGTTACTATACCGTAGTATACCAGAACTGTAAGTAGCTACCGGCTTGTAAAGGACATTTGCCGGCCCTTCGCATAGGTGTCCCGGCTTCTTGTCAGAGCTTTCGTTGGAATTATTGGAACTGTGACTTCAACCAATCCAAGGGGCTGAATTTAGGATCCGTTGTTTGTATCGAAGAGTGCATGTCAGAGATGAGAAGTGGGGGTTATGGCCTTGCTGCACTCGACCAAGATCAGCCAAGACATCGGATGCCGTGGTTTCTGGCATCCTTTTCTTGGGGATGAATAAATCCAAGTGTCTACTATAGTGACTACTGTTGTAGTCTTCGTGTGGTCCGTCACTGCATTCAAGACACCTTTCAAGTATGCAAAAGGCTTGGGAGAGCGATCTGTTTTCAGCGTTTAGCTTGGCCCATGCCATTGTTGCTCCTGAATGCGACAGGCACCCCATTGATACTCTCTTTGCCCTCCGAACGACCGGAGGCACCTGCCGATGCACTTGTGAGCATACGGGGGCACAGACACAGCTGAGTCTGTTTTGGGCGGCAAATAGGGCCATAGGGAGTTCAATCCTTCACGTGCGCAGGTTGATGATTGTCAGTATCACTGCATGCCAGCCATGCAAGTACTTGTGGCGAGGTGACTCATTCCGTGAGCAAAGGTGGGGATGCGGGGTGTAAAGACGGAGATGTGCCGCAGGAGCAAAAGATGAGATTCCCAGCCTGGATAGGCTTTTCCGTGGCTGCGCGCTCAGAAGGGACCTTGCACCAAATGTTGCAGATGACACTAGTCGAGGCCTTAGAAGCTAGGAAGACTCAACAACAAGCAAGAACCCTAAGCCCTCTGCCGCTTGAGAGCTCAGCAATGTCTCCCGTATGATTGTGTTTGTGTAATGGCTCTACATGTGCTTGTTTGGGTTTGTGGGAGATGTGGGAGTCACTGCTTAGCTGCAGCTCAGTTGGACCTAGATTCCGGGAGCCTTGCCTGCCTTCTGCGAGTGTGAGAAACCGAAGTCCTTTTTGCAAAGGTGTCGGAGCACGAGTTCTGATCTACTCGCCGGGCATTGCGTTGACATTTTTGGTGTCGACTGGCTGCATTTCCTCAGCCTTTGCAGTCGGGCACATTGACCTTGACCTGACAGGCACCAGACCTTACTTCTCGCGTTCTTCAGTTTGCCCAATCTGCTTGGCCGTCTCGGTTTAGACTTCGAGAAGCATCCAGGTTCTTTCTTGAAAGCATCTCAAAGACGTCTGCACGCAAGGACGGCTCTCCCAACCTCCAGGGTTAGGCCCTTTTAAAGCTCTGCTCCAAGATACGACGCTGCGAAAACTTGGTTCGGCGTGGGAGGAGGTGCTGTGATGCAGACACTGGACTTGTTGCGGCTTGCCTTACAAAAATTGATGGTTACATTGAATGCCCAAGGAGGTCATATTGCTTCAGAACCCCCGTGTTGCCATAGTCAAGGTGCTACCAACAACTCCAGCAGTTGGAGCTGCAATCGTGGTGATGTCTCGAGATTGAATGAGATTTATGGCCCCATCTCTCCGATCATAGAGGCCACGATTTCCCGTCCTAGCCGTAGCACTAGCGGATCCTCTACAGTCACTCCGAGACTTCTAAAGCTTCTGCAGATAGTTTCGTTGTAGATGTAGCTGAACCCACAAACCTGTCTAGTCATTCAGGCTGACGAATTGCTTTATCACTGAGGAACCCGAGCCCCTGAGCATGTGAGGCTCCTTGAGCCGATTTCGGTACAGGTTCTTGCATTTTCCATGCAATGTGTGGATGCCACATAGACTATCATTCTATGGAGCAGGGTTCATAGTACGATAATTTGGTGAGTGTCTAAAAGACCCTTACACCATCCGATTCCGTAATTTCTGTTCACGAGCAAGACTTGACATCTGCACCTGTGACTCCTTAAGGAAGCCCCGAGCTGGGCTGACCAGTGCTGTACAGCGGACTAGCACGGGAACCCAATGTACATGTTCTGTAGACAGAACTCATGTCTGCAGGACATAAGTATGGGCAGGTTTTGGAGTAGCCCCAAAGTATGGGCAGGTTTTGGAGTAGCCCCAAAGTCCCGCTCCGCGACTCTAAGCCCTAAGCCTCTCAGCTCCTTTGAACTTTGGGTCCCTGTGCCAGCTGGTTTCCACTTTCCCGAGGAAGAGGAGGGAACCAGACGGCTTTGGCTTTGTAGCATCAACACATGTGTGTCATTACACGACCAAAGTCCAGCGGGTAGTTGAACCTACCGGTACTGGAAACCATGGGTCATGTTGTTCATGGTTGGCTGGTGTGTCCTGTTTTGGCTGGACGGCTTGAATCAAACCTCAGGGTGGTTCTTCTAGTGAAAAGGAGCAGGTGCCGCTTGGGACTCATGCTCCTGTCGGAGATGCGAGGGATTTCAAGAAGCATCTTGCATTTTTCCGTGCGATATTTTGAATCTGCCGCTGTTTCTTCGCACGTTTGAGCGAAAGCCACGGAGGCACAAAGAAATTGTCAACATGTTCCCAGCTTCCCACTGCTGGTAGTCTGGCCAGATGAAAAAAAATACGAGCCCTGACTTTGCTTAGGCTCAGACTCGAAACGTTCGCCCAAAATGTAGCGCAGAACTGGCAAAGTGCAGAATGGTCATGGTTTTTCTGGACATTTGCTGTGGCCTCACGAAGATGAAGCGGTGGCAGCACTGAATTTCCGAAGATCGCCGGCACTCAGCTCTGGCCAGGCCGGGGAAGTTTGCTGCGTGTCCGAGGGGCGAAGCTGAGCCAATTCGGCAAGTGCGCGGCGCGGCAGAAGGATGCAGAGGCTACCCTATCTAAGGAGTCTGAAGTTTAAAGCCAGCCCTCAAGCCGGAACTGTAGTGGCCCTAGTATGCGATAGCCAAATTGCCCAGCAGGCTGCCAAAGCAGTTTCGGGCCCAGCTCTTTCGAGCAGACTTTGGGCAACTGCAGTGCTCGATAGAACACGACCACGGTTTGAGAAATAATCAAACACAACACAGCATGATAAAGTATAGTAGGCTTAGGGTAACATGGGTAACAAAATATAAGAACATAATACTATGACATATGACATATATAATGCAATATGGAGATCCGGTTATTCCGTCGTGAGCTTGAGCCTGCCTTCCGCCCCGGATTTGTTGCAGAAAAGGGTTCGATGCAGCCAACTTGCGCAGATATTATTGGTATACATCTGTATGTATGTGTGTATGTATGTATGCATAGATAGATAGATAGATAGATAGATAGGTAGATATAGGAAGTGTAGCCATGAAGTTTTGGGCAGGTTCGTCATGACTCTACGGCACAGTAGCCAGTTCATGTCTGGCAGGAGGTCATGGTAAGATGTAGCTCATGCGAGACCGAATGGAGACTGCAGACAGATGCACAGCTACACATCTTGCTTGGGTGGTGCTGTAAGCCTCGCTTGCGGGTAGCTCTAGAATCCTTGGGCATATGTGCATGCAAAAGCCACCCGGAACTCCTCACCCAACCCTCCGGGGTTCAGTCCTCGATTGTTTGTCAACGCGTCTGAAATCCAGCGACCGAGACTGCCATGTCGTTCTACGCAGCACCAAAGACTCGTCTCGTTGGCGGCTTCTGGGGCGATGAGGGAAGTCGGCGGCAGGTGGGCTGGAGACTGTGACTGCCGTCACAGAGTCGTGCCATTTGCGACAGACACAAGCGAATGGGTTGTTTGTCGGGCTTCGTTCCGCAGAAGCCCTTTTATAGCAAGATCTCACGAAAGTATGCCTTGCTTGGATCCACAACCACGCTGCTGAGCTCCACGGTGATCGGGCCTCTAAACCTTTGAGGCAGAGAAAGATAGAGCCCCAATAGGCCGTAACCACGAGACTCCCAGCCGTAGCCGGCCGTCCAAGAAGTACCGTATGGCCTGACACCCCAGTGCCCAAAATCCTAAATCAAACACACTAATACACCCAAAAGCCCGAGTTGCGAGAGCGTAAGCCCCTATAAGCTCTTGACCCTGAGTCACCCCTCTTGAAGGCCGCTGCAAGGACCAGCCCTCACGAGGGCCCTAGCTGGCCGGGAGCTGAACTGGAAGCGTTTGGGTGTAGTATAACGGTCTTATGAGGCTTTGTCTGTGGTTCACAAGGGGCTAGGAGAGTTTGCAGGTGGTTTCGTAGGATTCTGCAGATTCCTTGTGAGCTTCATTGTGTTAAGTGTAGGCTTTGAGACGTTCAGGGTGAGACGCACTTCAGGTTTGCAGTGCTACGCAGAGATTCAGGGACCAGATGTGTTTCAGTCTAGTGAGACAAGTGTCGTGATGTGTCGTGATTTTGGGATGCGCTGCTGCGCTGAGCATGCGCTCTCGTCCTGCGGTTGCTGTCGCAGGCATGGTCAGGGAAAGGAGAGGCCTTGGGTCTTTTTGTTTTTCTTCGGATTGCTGGCCTACCTTTGGCTTCGGGCTTTGTACCACTTGTGCCGGAACGGTACCGAAGCAGGTAATGCTACAGAGTGTCACGGTTGGCATAGTGCTGCTCGAAGACATTGCAGATTTTTGGGCATACCATGTGCCCGAGGTCAGGGATGGGAGAAGTCTTTGTCTCTCCTCAACCAAGCTCAGCGAGAAGGCAAGCGCTTCATGCTCGGATCTTGTTTGCCTTTTCTGAACTGCACTCAGCCTGAAGATGGAAGGTGTGGAGCTCAACGTCTTCCACCTCTCGGCAACAATTGCGGCTTGCTCGAAGGCCTCCCGGTAGCTGCAGCGATGGCTAAGCGCAAGCTCGCTTCTGTCGGGCGCAACAGCAAGCCGCTAAAGCCCCATGTCTCACGTATGCAGTAACCCTACAATACCCCACAAACTCAAAACAACCTATGTGTTCGGCATACCCGGAATACAGTATTGCGCTCCCAGACCGACACTGCAGGCAGTGCAGTGGAACTCTGCGATTTCCTTGCTGAGCCGCTCAGATAAATGGAGTGAGGACAGGCCAGGACAGGTCTGCTTCTGTTGTAAACGGTGAATTTTCAGGGCTTTGTCTATTGAAGTAGCTTGTTTAGGACTGCCACTGCCACTGTTCGATGCTGGCGGGGGCAGTGGTATTGATTTCATTATGCTCTTAATCAGTAGCTTCTCTCGTCACTCTTCTTGGTGCCACATGTGACTCACAGCCACTAGAGTGCTGCGACTATTGCAAATGCCCGAAGAGCCAGAAGCTTTCGCAACTGCCCCAATACACTGTTTTCTCACAGCACGCACCACGAAATCTGAAACATCTAAAGTCTTGACGTGTTTCTTCAAAGTTGACTCTAAGAGAGACTACACTGAAGTGAAAGGACTATGGAGCACTCGGCCTCAGAACCTTAAAGGATCATCAAGCCCACCACTCCAGAAAACTCTGAGCCACCAGCTCTGTCATGTACACCTGGCATCACACTGTCAGCAAACGTTGCCCTTGGTATGTGTGTTGGGCATGTCTATTGCCGTTGCGATTGCTGCTGTGGCCACTCCTCCTGTTGATACGGGTGTTACTGTCCGCAGCTATGCTGTTTACAACTGTACAATGACGGCCGTTTAGCACATGTACCGTCACTCCTACTGCACAGAACGTGTGGTGATGGTGATATTAAAAGTGTCAATGGGAACTGTTAGCGTAGATGTTGGTGAGTTCTGGTGATGGAGGTCGTGATGGTGGTGGTGGTGTCAATGTTGATATGTTGTTCGTGGTTAGGTAAACCTTTGCTCTATTGTTTCTGTCTGGAAACCCCAAGCACTTTTTTCGGCAGATCAAAGCAGCAGTCTTGCTCCGTACTTGTGCTTCTCCGGCTCGCGTTTCGGTGTCTTGCCCAGCCACCCGTGCACATGCGACATGTCAACCGGCAAAACACAAGCTTCACAGCTAGCTGTGTGATGTTTTTGGTTAAGCAAAAACCCTTAATTGCATTGCTGTCCCGGCCCGGCTTTGTTTGGATTGTGTCATGCTGGTTTCCCTGCTAATCCTGGGGTTTGGACAGGTTTCTCAAATAGATGCAAATGCCGGTGGAGTTGTCCTTTTTCAATACGCACTTGTGTGTTGCACGGTCGTGGGAAATCCAGGGTCGCGCTTTGCATTCCATGGGAGCTGAGGCCAGTTTCAGCAGCTGAATGTGCCGTCCTCAGACCTGTTGCACACATTCTCGCAACAAAGACTCTCTGGAAGCTTTGCTCTTGTGCTTCATCTGTCGGGACACTCTCAGTAGGTGCTGGCGCTGCTGATGCCTTTTCGAAGCAAGCAGGTTCAGCCAAACACGTTGGTCTACAACGCGGTGCTTGCATCATTTGACCAGGCTCGTCTCCATGCGAATAGATGGTTGTTGCGATGAACGACGTGGGATGGCTCTAGCACAACACCTTGTCCAAATGTCATATCTTAACTTAACTCAGCGAAGCCTTTTCATGCTGCTTCCGTGCGTTTCCACATCCACCAAACGCGCTTCCGTTGCTTCGAACCGCGCATTCTTGGCTTCAGAAGTTGGGAGGCAGAAGTAGCTAGGAAGTTGAAAGCTCTTTGGAAGCCAGCCGAGTTTCCAGCATCCAATCAAAACGGCAGCCTTAAACTCAAGACATCTCAGGACGAATTGCAGTTGAACATGCTGTTATCAGTCGCCCGAACGTCAAAAAGCGTGCAGCCACTGTTTCTGGCCGTCTTCCTGTCAAGTGTCAGCCCTGCACTGTAACCATTATCTTATTGAAACTAACTAGTTCTTCGGTTCTTTGGAAGCAAGCCCACATCTGAGCAGTCATCCGGCCTTCTGAGATTGCGTGCACCTCAGTGATTCGTGGAGATCTGGCCATGGAGGCGTTTGCTGTTTGGCCTCAGTCGCCATGGGTTTCAAGGCTCGCTTGCGGTGCCATGCCCATGCAGTTACCTTATGAATCCTGAAGGTACTTCAAGAGATTCGTAGATAAAGTGATGAAGATACATCTTCTCAACGGCTGCCCGTGCTTAGACCTTGCCCATGAATTCGTTGAGCGCGGTCTTGGGCAGTGCGGCCTTTCTGAGATCCTAAGCAGACAGAAAGCCTTCCTCCTCTTTGGGAAAATCCCAGCTTCATGACCCATGCCTGTCAGATGGGTACTTCTCTAAACTAGGGAACAGGGACCCGAATTCAGAGAGCTACACATGTCCATATCCAGTCTGTAGTTTGGCTCCAACATGTTCGGAAGATAGAGGATCAAGAGATTGTTCATGTTCACGCCTACATGCACATCCTACTGTGATATCTCCATGTGCTTCTTGCTGCTATCGCTTCCTCAAGTAGTCCAAAAGGCCATAATCTGAAAGCCTGTGAACTCATTGAATTTCTGAACGGGTTGCTACATGTTGTGACAAGTCCTAACAAAGCCTCCAGAGGACTGCTCCCCTGCGGCCTGCACCGCCGACCTTGCGCGCTCGGCCGCCACAACAGGTTTGCCGAAGGCGGGGCAAAGAGTAAGCGGTGACGTTAAGCTGTCATAAGGTTTTTTTGACAAGAGACAGCAGCACTTGCCTGCTGCAGGGCAGGAGCCGGGGATTTCTCGACGACCGAGATTGTGTTCCTTGGCAGGAGCTTCTGCTTGAATTGGCAAATCAGATGGCGCTTGCAATGTCGACACCCGCATGCCGTGGCTCTCGTTGTGGCGGTGGCCATTGTGGCAAGTTGGTACAGGGCCAGCCGGGACGAGGGTAGGCCACCGACAGTTTTGCCCCTTGTCGTTAGTTTCGTGCAGTTGTGGCAAGCGGCCAGTAGCATCGCCACTACCACTAGTGTCACGTACATCAACATCATGATTACCAGATCGGAGAGTTCTTCCCGCCTTCGTGACTATCACCACCACCGTCAACAAATTCGTCAGCAGCATTCTTCGCCGTCGTTGGGGGGCAGCCACCATGCGCATCGGCATGTTCTGCACATGTTATGTGATAGGCATCAATAAGCCAAACCTATTGTATGAAAATGATCCGGGGTGGATAATTCATATATACGTGTACTATACTTATATGTGCAGGTATTTGCGTGCTTACCTATCTGTTTGTTTATGCATGTTTCTGAGTGTGTGTGTGTGGGTATCAATACATGTGTGTGTATATGTAAATATGCATGTATGTATTTCTGTAGTTATGTGTGTATGTACTTGTGTGAATCTATCTGCTGCCTGCCTGCTCGCTCTCTCTCTCTCTCACTCTGCCTCCCTCTATCTATCTATCTATCTATTTGTCTACGTATCTATACTGTATCTATTTGTCTATCCATACATCTGCCTATATGCAAACAAGAGTAAAACTGGATCCTCAAATACATCCCGAAGTTGTTATGTGTCTTCTTCTTCCTTGTCTTTCTGGGGTTGCCTCTGCTGCCTTGCTGTCTTCATCATAAAACCCGGCATGTATCACAATGCTATAACGTGGTATATTAAAGTAGGTTCCAATGTTTGATAACATGCTGTAGTATTTAGATATAGATGTATATACTGTACACATGTATGCATATGTGTGTATATATATATACATATATATATATAGATGAGTCCATTCAAGTTTCTTTGTTTGTCTCTCATTCTCTCTCTCTCTCTCTCTGTATATATATATAGAGCTATTCCTATTCCTATGCCATACTACGTTACAACCCATGGGCCAGGTTAGCCGCGAGCTTTGGCCTGGCCTCTTGGGACGCTTGGCATCGCAAGCTTGCGTTTTTTTGTTGAGGATTTATGGGGCGTAGGGTTTAGAGGGGGGTCCAGGGTTGTTATAGAAGGCCCTATGAAACGCGAAACCCATAAACAAAAAAAAGAAAAAGCCCTGTAAGGATAGAGTAAGCCTTGCTATACTCTGATAACTAACCCATCTAAACCCTTTAAAGTTAAAGCGCCGGAGGCCTTAGTAAGCCCCAGACTAAAACCAAGCCTACAGTAGCCCCCTATTCAAAGCCGCTTTAAAGGAAGGCTTGCAATCGAGGTGTTTACTGGCGGCAATCCTGGCAGCTTACTGGGCCTCTCGGGTGGTCGGAGCTTGGCCAGGCCTGACATGGCCGAGAAAGAGGCGGGGGGGCCCTGCTTTTCTTTGTTTGTGCCTTTTAGGGCGTCTCTTTTTGTGTCCTTTAGTAGGTCTGTCGTGGTACGGCATCTATTCCTGTTACGATGTGATTGCGGGTTCGACACAGGTCAATGTTCTCTCCTGAAGTGTTCTGTCAGTGCAGTTAGGTTCGAGAGGTTCAGTTTCTACTGACGCTGGAGCAGTTCGCTTTCAAGCAGCACCTTTGTCGCCCAAAGCCATGGGCTTATGGGCCCCTAACCCGAAACATTCAACATTGTCCGAAGTGCGAGACTTCAAACCCTGAACTGGGGTGTTGGGAAGGCAGAACCAAGACGCCAGATGCTAAAAGCCCTCCCACAGGGTCAAGGGTCTAGCCAATTTCAGCTTCCGCGTGCTTCATGATTATCATGAGAACTACTACTGAAGAGGTTAGCAAACTGCGAAGGTCCAGGCAGCAAGACAGATGTTCCTCCGAGCCGCGGAGAACTACAGCGATGCCAGGGCTCTGTCCTGAGATGAGAGCTTTCCTTAACCCCCTATAAACCCCTTGCCTGCCCGTGCGAGTGTGAGAGTCAAAACCCTTCTAAACCCCTATAAACCCTAAACCCCTGAACCGGATGTGGGAAGTCTGCGGAGAATACAATCTGCAAGCTGAATTTACTGCATGACCATGGCGATGCTTTTCACTCGACATAAGAAGGGGATTGTCGCCAACGTGAGATGCAGCCGACACGCAGATGTACTGTGCTCGAACATACTACAGGGTGTCCGAAGATTGCGAACAAATTCTGAGAGGGTGGATGCGACTGTGGAAAGGCGTTCCTGAGGTGTGGGATCTGAATTGGTCTCGGACTGTTTTCGGATGGTGGACAGGCCGTCCTAGCCAAAGGGCTTACCGACGTACTCGAAACCTCGCCAGGCTTGTCCCAGTTGTGAGTGCTGAAACCCCTGAAGCCTTATAACCCTTTAAAGTTGAGAGCTTGAAAAATGGGATTTAGCGCGCCAGGACTTAGAGCTTCTAGCTAGAGTCTCCACCGTAGTTCCTCTGTTGGTTGTCACCAGCTTCATGTCTGGGGATCCTAGAAGGAATATATAACCAGGATGTTAGGAGGAACAAAGGTAGGATCCTAGAAGGAATATAGGTAGGTTTACGAACTGTCGCTGGGATTTGAGGGAGCTGATGAATTGCTTTTTTCAGGTGGTTGTCGGGATCAGGTTCTCAAGGAAACTCGAATAGTTCCCTCCTGGCTTGGTCGACTCTCTGCAGAAAGATTGCAGTCTGTGGCAAAGGAAAGCACCGGAGTGCTCCTGAATCGCATGGCGCCTGAGATTGTGCAGTCGGCAAGGCAGCGATTGGAGGCATCGGATGCATATTAGAACTGAGACTTTAATCAATAACAACAATCTCTCTATCTATCTATCTATCTATCTATCTATCTGTCTATCTATATATATACATAAACATATATCCACATATGTATATACACATACATATCGACAATAACACTAGCAACGCTGATAGTACCACTAAAGAATCATCAGAAGGATAAGTCCTACAGTAGTACCGGATTTGGACTTCTGCGTATCAAAACCGTTGGCTGCAGACTCTCGATGATAATCCTTCACTGTTGCCCTGTAGGAATATCGCGACTAGAAAAAAGTATGTTAATAAGAATAGCAATCCTCCTCAGCACCACCATCATCCTCATCATCATCATCGTCACCATAGTCATCATCGTCATCATCATCATCATCGCTCGTGGTTCTTAGTTCACACCCAACCCGTTTGTACTGCAAGCTCTGTAGCTAGCATACTATCTAGTATTCTCGGGTTGGATCATGTCCCAGCATGTCAGCATACAGTAGTCCCATCCTCTAGCATCAGATCAATGAATCATGTAAGTCGTAAGGTGCTTCTGTGCGTACCTGCTCACAGCCACGGCTGCAGCATTGGGATCGAGTTGGAGGATGCAGTGGATCTTTGCTTTTGATGGATGTTGTACCCGTTGTGCCGGGTTCTCCCGAAAGATTACGGCAGCTATCCGCAGTCGCAAAAAAACCGTTCCTCTAAAACAAAAGCTGAACCCTTAAAGCCTCAACCCTAATTAATGAAGCCCCAAACTCGTACTACCAGTGGTAACTCCCTTTAAAGCCTTGCTGCCAGGGGGCTCTCAAAACCTTCCAAGACGCGCGACGGGAACTGCAGCTGGTCTCTGAGGAGCAGACCCGAGCCTACTTGGTGCCGTCAGCAACATTGTTAGCAGTATACGATAATGGATGCAGGAGCAATATATTGGAACAAATGCGCTTATTCATACATGTATGTGTGTATGTATGTGTTTTCACATACATACCGACGCATACGATAATGATCATATACTATAATGCTGCCGTCGACATATTGGCGGAGTAGGCCGGAATCGCCAGAATCCAAGTCATGCCATGTCTGTTTCAGGGAAGTCCCCAGCACACGCCCTCCCGCTCAAGCGCCGGGACGGGAGACCCAGTGCGGGAAGGCATAGGCATCAAAAAAAATGATAAGGATCAAAAAAAAAATTACCTAAGGATCCAAAAGAAATTTGACAAGGATCAAAAACAAATTGTCCTCTGCGCCCAAGACCTCGCCTGGTTCTCGAGTCCTGACAGGCTCCGGTCCGGTGGTCCGTGGTCCCGCGGTCCTCTGGTCCCCTGGTCCCGTGGTCCTTTGGTCCCTTGGTCCTGTGGTCCTCTGGTTCCCTGGTCTTGAAGCCTTGCAAATATAGCAAAGGGCAATTTTTTTATCCTTATTTAATTTGTTTTTGATCCTCGGGTTCTAAATTTTTTTGATCCTTATCAATTTTTTTTTGATCCCTCACCCGGGTGCGGGAAGGCCTTCGTCCCCAGAAGATGCAGCGCTGTTCCACCTAAACGCAAACTCTCTCTAATTCTGAGCGGGTGCTGCAGAAGATGCTAGTGGTGGTTACGGTGCTGGTGATGACTTTGCCACGTAAGAACGTCAAAGCGAATCCGGAAGCAACTCGGAGAGTCAAAGCCTCGCCTAATGTATTGGATCGGTTGGGACGGGGGAGAGAGAGGGTTTGTATGTGTGTGCACAAGTGCGCGCCGGAATGCTTCTTTCGTCACTGCCGTGATAGATAATGATCACAACAATAGTAGGAGAAATAATCAGACGAAGAAGGCTAAGAATACATTAATATTTATTTGATATTCAGGTGCCGGAGTATCTCCGGACTGCGAAGGAGAAGGGCGCCTTCATCATAGCTGTTGTCGGAAACCAGAGAGCTTTGGATGCAAGAGCCAGAAGACAGCCAGGCATAAGCAAGCTGTAGAGTGCAGAGCGGCCCTCGTCGGATCCTGTGAGCTTTGACATCGGATCGCAGCATATCGGCTGAGGGTGGACTGAAGTCATTTCCTTTCACGCCTTTGCACGCCGAGGTGTCGGAAAGTCCTCGTTCCTCCGTGCATTCTTGGATTTCGAGCAACCGCCTCTTGGCATCAAACTGCGCTCGGGTTTGCGAGAGCACACGGCTGCAGCTGACCCACGGAGGAGATTTGAGCGAATATAGCAAATGCTAGTAGGGCGACACAAAATCGCAGATGCAAGTTATATATATATATATCAACAGAAGTCTGTGTTATAGAGCTCAGCCGACACAGCTAAGGACGGATCCACCAACGACTACTGCGCCGGTTCCGTACGTCTACCCGACCCAGCCCCTGGCAAGACAAGCCCCTAAACCCCTAGACCCCGACACTCTAAACCCCTAAACCCTAAAACCCTAAGCCCCTAAACCCCAAGCCCCTAAACCCCTAAACCCTAAACCCCTAAAACCTTAAACCGACGTGGGAGAGCGACTCCTGAGCTGTAAGCGCAGCAGCCCGACTAGTCTGTGCACCGTGCCCGACGCAACTTCTTTAACATCACATGAAGGAGTCGGCTCAAGTCTTAGGGTTCAGGGTTTTAGGGTTTGGAGTATTTGGGCTTCAGTAGTCAGCAGATTGCATGACAGACTCCAGGGAATCTGTACTGTGAAACGGTTTCTCTTGGGATTCGCTCTCCACATGGCTCCAAGATCCCCAATAGCGTTCATCTCCTGAAGCCAAGGTCCGACTTGCCTTGTATGTTCTGGGCTGCTGGGCTGCAGGGTTTATCGGGCCTCAGCGGCTTTAGGGTGCCAGACAGCCTGTCTAGATGTTCACACCTCAACAACAGCTCGCATGCCTCAGCAGCATCTTCAATCCCTGTCAACCCCTTTCAATTCAGTGCGTAAGCTGCTGCGTGCCCGATGTCAACTAAACATCTCGACCCTCACTGTAACAGCCTCTGGAGATTTGAATCCGGCACAGCGCGATACTGCTAAGACCTTAGAAGTTTTGCCTGAATCTCAGGACCTTCCGCCCCTCGGTGCAGCCGGTTACCCTGCCGAGACCTACATGAAGCTTGACTAATGCACAAATCTGCAGGAGCTAGGACAGCTAGGATTCCGCAAAGGGCGAAGGGTCCCGGAATTTTTTTCAGCTTTAAAGCTGTAGCTTGCTTGAGCCTCGTGGGCACTTCGATTGTAATCTCCAAGGCCTCAAAGATGGCAAGTACAATGATGGTTGTTGTCACCGCTTGCTCTACCCCCCGCTCTTGTTTGGGGCTGCATCTACGAGCAGCAATAACACCGACAACAGCACCAGCAGCAGCAGCAACAACAACAACAGCGCCGGTAATGCTCCACGACCGCGGCGACAGCAACAGCAATGACTCACTGGGGTAGACTGGGACTCCCAATATTCGCCACACTATCGGCCACACATTTTTTAGTCATTGCTGCTTACACAAACTGCGGGATGTGTTTGGGCATCGCAATAATCCGCAAACAGCGGTGGGTGCTTGAGCACGTGTAACATGCAAACCTTTTGTTTTTTGAGATCAACAGCATCCAGCAAGTGTAGCGGATGTCGAACCAGGAACCCTTGTACAAACGCAGTAATGCTTTGGGGTCAGCCCAGGAGACTTCTCGGAATGCGGCATTTCGGGTTGGTGGTCGTGCACCCTGGCAGAATGTCACAGGCTTGCGGTTCGGGAGTTGAACCGGAAACTGTGCAGTGCTCGATGTGGCTTGATCCTGTGAGTCATGGTTGTGCAGGGTTCTTGTTGAAATAGGCAGAATCAGAAAGATTGTCAAGCTCCATCCGAAGCAGAGCAAGAACCACAGAACCTGCGATTCATAAGAGCGGCAGAGCAAACTCCAGAGTACTCATCATGTATGGGAGCATATTGTGGGGAGCTGCTGTATTCACGGGCCCAGTGCCAAAGCCTTCTTGCACTAGCCCTCATTCAAATTCAGAAATCAAGAACCGAATGGCCGAGGATGACCGACAGCAAGATCTCCGAAGCAGAGCTTCTTCTGCTCGATGAACTGAAGCACTGGAAGGCGATTTGGCTGAGCATGACCGCAAGGATAAGACTAAGAGAGTGCGAAGCAGCAATGCTGGCAGGACTAGCATAACAGGTGCATGCAAAAGAGTGTTCGGATGCACGAGAAAGGGGCCCTCCCTACAAGGCTTTGGATTCAGTTTTTCGGGTTCGGTGTTTCGGGCGTGAGGCCTTTTCGGTTTGGTTCAGGGTTTGAGGTTTGGATCGCGGGTGAATCTCGACAAATGTGACAAAAGCACTGGCGACATGTGGCATCTCCGAAGGATTTGGCCATGCTTGTTTTATCAGTGACTGGCCCCAAGTGACAGTGAATAGAATCGTCGTTCCTAATGCCTAAACCTTTCTGAATCCTTTAAAACCCAAGACCCTAACAGTAGGTGAAAAAGGACCCTCAAAAAAGACGGGCATGGAGGAGCTGCATGTTGTTTGCATCACACCATGCCAGCATAGATCCCCGAACCGTGATAGATCACCGCGATGACCACGACGACCGAAACAGGAATGACCACGACCACCACTAAATCACAAAAACATGTCACCCCAAAACAATCACAAAGCTCCCCACCTTCGAGTGGCAGTTCCAGGTGCCTTACGTAGTCGTGCGAAACAAGCTCGACGTGGACATTGAGCGCTTGGGCAGCGGTTTAGTTTGCTGCAAGCTTTGAGGTCGCCGGTCTGAAGAACGAGGCATACCGAGACAGCCCATGCCCTTAAGTGAGCAACATACCCTACATCAGAGGGGTGATCCCTATATTATGCAATACCCTGAGGGTATTGGGCCTATCGGTTGGCCTGGATTGTTGCTCATCAGCGTTAAGCTGGAGTCTCTCTTGGCAACGAGTGCAGAACAGGCGAGAGTTCATGGCCGAGCAGCTTGTTTGGGATGCGCGTGGCTTCTTGCCTGCCAAGCTACCAGCCCTCCCGTGTGTTGCACGGATGTTTGGGGTTCGGAGTGCATTTCCGGCTGTTCCTATGAGTCCAGTAGTGCTGCCGGTATATTCTGTTTTCCCGCAAGACATTCCAGCTGAGGAATTGTAACTTGGGGGGTCTTCGGGACCACTGCACAGCAACGAATACTGTACACAAGGGCAAAGGGGGTGGGGGGACTCGGACTCCCCAACTGCATCAGTTCTAGGGAGTGGTTGCAACTGTTGCCAAGCTACATCGACACGAAACCTACTGGGCCCTGTACGATTCAGGCCTCAAGGATGGATTAGATGACAGCGTCCGTGCGGAGATCCTCTGCGACACGATGACAAGCGCCACGACCCCGGATGGGGGTTTGACCAGCCGTTTTGCTTGAAATCTACTCTGCTCATCCATGGAGGAACTATTTCCGTCGGCTCAGCACTTCAGCTCGTTTCACCATCCTGCCAACCTTTAACGAAGCCGCTTCAAGACAAAAACAGGGCAAGGAATGTCGGCCATCGCAACATGCCACCGAGGTCAAGGAAGACCTATGTTGCCTTTACGATGTGGAACGACGGGAGCTGAGTCGAAATACCTGGCACTTGGTTGGGCGTTCGTAGTAAATGACCGGGTCCGCAGCCAGACTGCTGGAATAGCGCAGCTTTATATAAATCATGCTGCTGCATATCCGCTTTGTGATTTAGCTGAAGCCTCCAGCACTGTTCAATCTTTTCCTGTTCTATTCCAGAAAAGCCTAGACAAGCCTCACGAAGAGCGAGAAGGCTTGAGCAACGCTTCGTGAGCTCCGCTCCAAGTACTTCATTCACATGGGCCGCACCAACTCCCGCGCCCGATGAGGTGTCTACTGCATATCCACCAGGAGAGGCTACCGAAAATTGCAGCATCCTCAGTCAAAGCCGCAGCGAAGGACCCTTGAGTAAAGAATTTTGTGATGTCCAGGAAAAGATTCAGGAATGCTGCCTGCTTTCCTTCCGCGGAACCCCTTGTGCAGACAGTACAAGGGCATGGCAGGCAGTCACGAGGAACAAGAGGCAAGCTATTTTTTCTGGGCGGTGCACGTCTCTGCCCCGAGTGAGGAACCCATGTACCGACTTGAAGCGTGCACACTACAGTACTGACTGGAAGCAGGCGGTTTCGCCTTGTAAATATAGTCCTGATGCAGAAGCGTTTGGGATAGCCCGGCATCGATGCATAAAGGCATTGACAGAGATGCGGCTTCTGCTAAAGGTTTGACTACGCCGAATTGGATGCCGACTTGCGCAAAACCATCCAGATGTGACCCGGCTGACGTCAGCATGAGAGTCCTGAAACAACACGGGTGCGGATTCGAGGTAGCGTTGTCGCACCGCGACGGAGAGTTTATGTGACGCGAGACTCTGGCTTTGCGATTTTTCTAGCTCAATGCATCCTCTCGGAATGCCAAAGCCTCATTAACTAGCAGGTTTTTTCTTGAGGTTCTGCAGCGAACAAATAATAGAATTGTAACAAACACCCTCAACAAGTATGCATGAAAGCATTCATTATGAACCCCCCTGTAGTTTGATATATTTATTCTTGCACTTAGCCTTTTGTTTGCCAGTGCAGAGGGCTTAGGAACCATGCCTGTGCAGGGCGACTGTCGCAGCTTCAAGGACCCGATTTATCATAGAAGTATACATCGGATGCCGGAGGTTTCGTTGCTTCAGTTGCTCATTGGCGATCCTTGCACTTGGCATTGTCGTTAATTTCAATCCGAGGCGTTGTGACGCGGAGAACGCCCCGAGCAAGCAGATTGACAGTAAGCAGGCAGCTGCCGCGGTGTTGCCGCCTTGACTGGCGCAAGGCCAAGTGAAGTGGCATGCAGAGGGTTTCGATTTCCGCGGCTCTTGATTCATGAAGTTTCGGACGAACCTCAACTGATAGTACTTTCTTTTGTTTTAACGGTCGAACTTGTTGTAGTGGAAAGAGTGACAGCCGACATCTGACCACTCCCGCGTGCTGCTTTTGGCCCTGGCTTCGCATCAGCTGTCGACCACCCGTCGGCTCGACAACCCTTAGTCCAAATCCCAAAGTGTACAGCAGAAGGATCCTTAACCCCGCAACACAAGCGTCAGGTGTTGACCGCTTGGTGCTCTCTCAACTGTGGCTTGTTTAACTCAACAACATGGGTGTTTGAAGCCGCATAGATCCTGCATGATCCTGCCTAATTCCCGTCCAAAGGGGTGCTGGAAAATCCAGGGATTTTGTAGGAATACAAACCAATGACTGAGCAGGATTTAAATAAGGGGTTCTGGGCGGGATTGTCGTGGGACATGTGTGGGAATGGTTTGGGTTTTTGTGGTGGGCTTTGTGTGGGAACCCTGTAATTGTCTTCTAGAGTGCAGTGGGGATTTGTCTGTTTCTAGTGGAGGGTTTTGTCTGGGTTTAATCTGTTTTTTTTTTGGTTGTGGGTTTCGGAAGGCTCGTACCTGAGTTGAAAAGACCCAAAAATGAAGAACGCATGGATGTGACATTCTGATTTGAGTGCCGAAGCAGGTCCAGTGGACCAGGGTCTCTCAGTGCGTAGAAGCTTTCACCACCTTCGTGGCTTTTCAAAATGCCCGAGCTGACCAGAGACAGCTGGAAACACCGGAGGAATGACAACAAGAAGCAACAGCAAGCCGATTATTGAGAGTTGTTGGTGTCACTAGCTGGTAGTGACTAGCAGATCATTGCAAGCAGCGATGGTCGATCCATCCGTCGTGACTGCCGCGCGCGTCCTGCATTGAAACCAAACGCAACATCCCTGGAATAGATACTGTCAGTCGAAGTAGGGAAAGTCTTCGTGGGAGGGTCAGCTTGGATTTGGTGAGTTCTCCTCCCGCCGTAGTGCGCATGGAGTTTGGATTGCCCGAGAACACGAGTGCTGCAAGCAAGAGGCTATACAACACGGACACAAAAGCAGCTCCATAACGTTTGTCGAGTGCTGTGTGCCGGTGAAAATGCCGTAATGATGTCATATTGACCGTTAGTGTCTTGCATTGCATAACGGGTGAGTTTATGGCCAAACGGAAGCAACGATCCACATCGGCAGTGGAGTAAAAGCACTCGGTGCTAAGAAGTAGTAGTCTTCCCGGTTGGACAGCTTGCTACAGCCGACTTGCCTTCTGTTGGGAGGTTTTGTGGATTAGTCGTGGCGAGAGGGCAAGCCATACAGCGATGCGCGATGTTCAAAGAGCTCAATGCTATTCTTGCGGCCCATTTTCACATGGAGAGGTTCACCCTTCAGTACGTCATAGGCAAGACAGCACTTCCAAGCTCTGGTAGGGAACCGAGTAATCGATGAATCTCTCTTTGGCTCCATGGATTTTCCTGGCCAGGATTCCTAGGCTAGGCTAGCAGCTAGCATTGGTACAATCTTTAAAGGGTGGCAGGCATGCCAACATAGTAGACATGCCTGCCGCTCCCATGTTGCACAGGCATGCGGTCTCAACCATTGGTAGCATCGATTGCTGGTCAGGTAGGAACCATGGATAACCTGTCTACAGCTTATTAAGACTTTTTTTTCTTGTTATCATAGACCCATAGACACTTTCGCCTGGCTCCACAAGATTAGCATGATGTTGGTCAAGACTGCTGTAAGCACCCACGCGGTAACCGGGCATGGTATTTGAAGATGCTCATTGCCATAAGTCAAATTGACACAGAGATCCCGCCTGTTGAGACCGCTGAGTTCTCCAGTCAAGATCACGCAGAAGAGACCGGAGATGCAGACGCGCGGCGTGGGCGTCAGAATGCAAAAGGGCACGCATGAGCACATCGGGCGTTGGTAAGTATTTGGCATCGGAGCATGGGTCTTCATGGCCGGCATCACCAGGAAGAACATGTGGCTCTCTGTCCATTTCCGCAGTCGTTTGGCAACATGGAATGCTAGGTGGCAGGCCTTCCGGCAGTTTAGAGGGAGCAAACACACACAGATCAGCTGCACCTTCGCGCGTGCCTACGAAAAGCGTTGCATCGCCCGCCATGCTTGCCGTGGCGGGCGGGTCCACTTCGGTGGTCCCGGTGCCCCGAAGACTCAGGCACAGTGCTGTCGTAAAGGAAGCGTGTGGTTGGTGCTGTGATTGGCATACAGAAAAGATTCCTGGCTCGCGATGCATCTACTTATCGTCTCCCCAAGATAGAAGTATGCCCGACACAACTTGAGCTTTTACTCGTGTTGCTTGCGTCCTTGCATGTCCTTGCGCCAGGTTTGGCACTACTGTAGTACCTCGAGATAGAACGGCAGAAGAAAAACATCGCACGGTGTTGTTATATCTAGCATGACGACATCCAAGACAGTGTTAAATTCCTAAATATGAAGCCCTGTAAACCCCAAACCCACCTTAAACTAGACGACGGAATGAAGCGCCGTCATGTTGTCGCGGTTGCCCCTCCGCCCACGGGCCTTGAAGGCAGAACTTGCGGGCCCAGGGCTCGACAGGGCCAATAAGGAAAGGGTCTGGTGTGGGGTGACCTTGTACTCTAAGGATGACGGTAACTCTTATACTACGTATTCCAACCCCTGTAGGCTTGCAAGACAGAGAGGGGGTCAGTGATAGTGGGTACATGCTTGGAATTTGGCAGCCATGTCGAATGCCTACGAGGTCAGGATCCGTGCTACAGGAGAGATGGCGACGGTTCTTCGGTACGATGCAGGCCCATCTCCGGATGAAATGGCGGTCCGAGTCCGCCACGCCGATGGCCGTCGGCAGTGGTATAAACCAGTGGATGTGGACATGTTCGAGCCGGTCCCTCCCGGGTATGTCCACGGGGATGAGATTCAGGAAGCACCAGCACAGGCAGGGCTTCAAGAGCCTTTGTTGTCCGAGAGGCGCCGTCAGCAAGCTGGGTGGCTTTATTACTTGCAAGTCGCAATCAGCGTTGTCTTGACGCTGGCAGTCGTGCTTTTGGCATTGGACCGAAACTCGAAGTGCGACCCGGAAGACTTGCGAAGCGTGGATCCACCTTATGATGGCGACCTCCTGCCGTTTCGCTTCATTCTCTCAGAACGAAAGCAGTTTATCAAGCTCTCCAGGATGATCGATGTCTATGACGAGAACTGGGTAAAGGTTGGCTACTTTTATGATCTCAACCTGTTCTTCTTCATGCGGTTTGGATACTCGGATGCCTCTGGTCGGATCTGGTTTGAGGCGCGGCGCCCTAATCTGTTTGCGCGAATCTTCCAGCTGGGAAAGCAGTACTACCTCCAGCGGTGTGACGTTGGTGCCAATGGACGCCACGGTGGGATCTTCGACCTGCGAGAGGATTTTTGGAAAGAGAGCTGGTTCTGCTCTCTCCACTGCGTCGGTCTCTTCAACATTACGCGCCGGCCGGTGAACGACCTTAGCATTAATTACCAGTACTATGTTGGTGTTCTGTTTATAATTTGTTTTAGCTACAGTATAATAACAGTTTACTATACCCCAAAGCTCAGTGAAGGAACATAGCACTGGCGATTTGCCCGTGGCCAATGCCGTGTTCAACTCGACCCTGGAGTGGCTCGTGCACTTTGCAAGTAATCTAGGGGCCGGAAGAATTCATTAGTAATAAAATCCTTACGGCAAGCCCCGTTAGTTTTTTCACCTTCGAAGCCTAGACCTATAAGCTTTATTATAGGACGGCAGCCTCCACTGAATCAACCCCCTGCTTGAGGTGGCATCACAAGAACATGGTGAATACGTTTGCTCGACATCGATGGTACATGCATCTTGGCCTTAAGTTGTCACAAGTCTAATACTATGAAGGCTTAACCATCTACTCTCAATTAATTCCCAAGTTTCTCAAACTCTGAGTTTACCTCCAGAGCCATAGGAAACTGACCGATCCTTTGGACGGCTCCCTCGTGGCTCATGCAGAGCAGCATTTCCGCTCCTGGCTTCCCGGGTACCTATTGTCCAACTGGACGGTGCGAATCTCGGAGGATTTGCCGCTTCTTCCGAACTGGGTTGTTGGCTTCGCGGCGGCTTTGGATGATGTGGATCGGACAGGCGACTAGCGAGGGCGCTGTGCAGAAGACATTTCTCAATGCCGAGCTTGCAAAGCCAGACGCAGTCCATCTGTAAAGCTATTCAGTTTTAATTCTATGGAAGAAGAGGCAGCAGCTGCTTGGGCCGAGCCCACGTAGCAGCCTGGGTCTGGAAAGAAAGGAGAGAACCTGCAGATTAATGGCAGGCTCCTGTAACAGCTAAGTTTTTGCCTTCGTAGCATCTTCATAGATTTAACGGGCAGCTTGCAACTCCAGAGAAGGACTTTTAGCAATAAAGGAGCCTGGATAGTTGCCAGTGCTGTTTCTCAGAGTTCCTCGTTGTATTCATAGTATACTTATTCCCCAACACCCCCATCCCAATGATTAAGGGCCCTATACTAGGTGATCAGCCAGACTGAGATGATGCTGAACTAAACCCTAAACCCTAAAACCTTAAAACCCTAAACCCTAAACCCCTAAAGACCGTAAGTGGTAATTATCGGACGGCCAAAGATGGAGGTCGGAACAATCAGCAACAACGTTCCCTCATAATCCTTGCGAGCAAAACGATGATATCCCCCAAACCCCTAAGGCCCTAGTCTAATTATTAATGCCCCTATGAATATCATTGCCTTTCCAGAACTGAGAGTTGGTATTTGTTCGCTGTTTCGGCTTGGTTGGCCTGCTTTTGGCTTTCCAGTCGGCCAGAGTCAGAGGAACAAGAGCCAAAACAAAGCACCCGAAGCCCTTGAAATAAGTAGAACCCCATCGATCATGGCCTTGTGGGGCCTGTCGCTACACAGCGCGCTTCAGATTGTTCAGCAGTTCGCTGAGTCGTCCGAAGATTCGAACTTGCGAGCCCGCCCGGGTGTAGAAGTGCAAGGGTTTCACAGACTACAAGGGCTTCACGATTCAGACTTCCGGTTGCGAGGGCCATTGCGGGGCGCTAGGCCGCCAGAGTGGAAGGGATGATTGAGAGCAGAGACTGGGGAGGATCTGCGAAGCATAAGACTTGTGCTTTGTGGGTTTGTTGTGGAAGCGTGAATGATCCCCAAGACGGTAGTTAAGACGGTAGTTCCAGCTCTTCTAAAATATACACCTAAACCTTGTTCCAAGGCCCCTAATTAACATCCACTACAACTCTTATAGTTATATAAGTTACATATGCTATATTATTATTATTGTTGTTATAATTATTATTACAATTATTATTATGATTATTATTGAATTATTGGATAATTATGCAAGATTACACACCTTCAGCTCTCAGAAACCTATAGGTCCTAGGAGTCGGAGACAAGGGGCTCCTCTGCGCCTTCCCCCGAGCTCGTAAAGCTTAAAAAACCTGAGACAAAAGGAGCCATTAAGATCTGCAGAGCTCGTAGTCGTAGTTGCTATCATCCAAGCTCCAGGACCTGGTATGACTTGGATGATCTTCTGTAGATAATTACTTCGTATTCTCAGTTATGAGGTACAACTATCATGTGGTTCTTGTTCTGATCATTCGGGTGATTGTTGCAGGAGCTACCCCAACCATGGCGCCTGGTTTGCGCCGCCCCGCCGGGCGCCCGGACGCGAGCTTCGGCACAGCGCGCGCCAGGCGCAGGGGACCGGGGGCACAGAGAGCTTTAGGCCTTGACGGTCGTCGTAGTCGTTTGATGGCAGTCTTTCAGGGTTCTTTTGACAGGTGTCGGTACAGCTGATTCATTTTTGCAAGTCTTGTCTACGCGATCGGACTTGGTGTCAAGGTTACTGGTAGCAGGGTCGAGGGATGTTGAGGGTGAAACCAAGGTTGAATGTCATGTGTGTGTGTGTATGTATATATATATATATGCATTAGTTGTGCGTGTACATACGTTGTTGGTTTAATTGTTGAGATCTCCGGGCCTCGTTATAGCATAACGGTCAGCAGCCCTGATCTTTGCCTCGGGGTGGCCATCCCGGATGCTGTGTGCGAGTGAGAGCGAGTGTGAGTGTCGAAACCCTGGCGCAACGACGAGGGTGAGGAGAGGGTCGCTGCACGACTCAAGGATGATGTTCATGCTTGCCTGGCTTTGTCGATGCATGGCGGGTGGTACTATCACGTACTATCACGTCTGCCGTTTCAACTTGGGCCTCGTTTCACAGAGCCCTCTTGAGATGTCCTGTCTACGCCCTGCGAGACATCGAAAAGAGAAGATTGGAAAAGCCTTAAGTCAAGTTTCTCTCACAGCTCTATGAGCCTTATCAGCATCTACAAGCACCAAAGATCCTGCACGCCCCCCCCCCCCCCCCCCCCCC